TCAATGCAATTAAAATAAATGAAAATACAATTCAATACTCAAAGTACACAAATTGATCTAATCTAATTAATTTACAGCAAAATAAAAAAATATGTAAATGACGGATAATGAAATCTCGATTATCACTTTATCATGCGAGAGTATAAAATGTTCGGTGACACCCGAACTTAGCCCTGCCTTACTTGTTTTAGTTTTTTTTTAATATTGCTTTTGTTTTCAAAAAACTTAAAGTGGGATTGAACTATTTAATGTTTCATTATTAGTATTCAATCAAATGCTCTTTGAACTGTGTGCGGTTAATTACGGCTATACGAATACCATTGTATATCTATTTTTAATAAAGAATTAAAGAATCAATTGTTGACTTTTTATGAAAAATACTACATTTTTATTTAAAATACTATATAAAGTGAGGACAAATACTATATTCCATAGTTTGAGAGCTGGCAACACTTGGTGTAACCCAAATTTATTTTGTATTTGAATATCAAAATAAGTAGTGATTATGATATTAAATTGTAGCTTATATAAAACGTTTGTATTTTTAACAAAGCGCCATCTGTTACAATCTTTTGGAGCTAACAAATAATTGTGACTGTCAAACAATATGCAAATAATATACAAATAATTTGCAATAATAAAATATTGCGATTATAAATTGAGATGTAAGCTATCCTGTCTCCCAACTTGGATCAAATTGCAAACGGTGTGGAATCAAATTTAAAATTAGTTCAGTAGATTAGGCGTCCATCGCGGATAAACAACGTGACACGTAACTTCTTTTATTAAAAGTAAACACGGATACTGCGATTTCATATTATTTTAAGAATATTTAAAACATACAAATATAAAAGTAAAAGGATTAACTGTTGATTTTGAAAAAGACCCTTCGATGATAATTCAATTCGTCACATGCGTACGGCTACGCGTTCTCTCGTCAAGTCATTATCTATCATTGGCATTTTCTAGTTCGGAGTCTATTGCTCGAAACTTGTTGCGAAAAATGATTTCCGTGTTGCTCAAACCCAACAAATATGTACATATATAATTGATAGGATTCCGATCCTCAGGTTGATGCTTTACACCATAAAATATTTCCCTGGCTTTGATTATTGTAAGTTGCAGGAGTATAAAATGTTCGGTTACACCGAAGCTTAGCCTTCCCTACTTGGTCCTACTAAAAATAAAAATGCCCATATCTTCTATTGCTTGCTAGGATAATAATTTCGAGTATAAAGTAGACGGTTCAATCTCCAACTCTAACACTAAACTTTACTTGACAAATAAGCAGTTATATGTATTTGTTTGTTTTGAATCTGAAACAACAATATCGGAGTGCCAGAAAACCACTTACCTGTTTAGTAAGAATAATTTTCTTTGATTGTACCTTTTCATTAAATTATTAACTCTACGTTCAGGAATTAGAATTTTCGATTGTAATATCAGAACTTTTAATATATCGCAAACTCTGATTCTAATTGCTGTGAAATTCTAATTACTGAAATTATTAACTAATCTAACTATTGTAATTGTGAATATAAATTGTATGTTAGCGTTTCTTAATCGATCAGATGAAGAAATTATCTAGATTCGATCTATCGCTACATTTTTTAACAACAGTTTAAGAGTTATTTTTGAATTTAATGAATTTAGAGAATTGTTAATTGTCTTAAATTATTTGCAGATGGTATCTTTAGCTATATATAGTTGCTTGGGTAAAATATAAATTTAATTAAAACTTAAAAATTTTCAAACTTTTAAAGGTCTTTACCTGAAATCGATGGCCTAAGTAAGGAGACAGTTCTTACTTCGTGGATGGCCAAATTCGATATAATACTTAAAGGCACTGGTGAAGAAGATTCCAAACGACCTTCTAGAATGCAGCAATCACTCAATAGTGAATTGATTTTGTCTAAGGAACAGTTGTACGATATGTTTCAACAGATTTTGAGTGTTAAGAAATTTGAACACCAAATTCTATTCAACGCGTTAATGGTAAGTAAATGTGCAACTTGTTTTACTCAATACAAAACGATGTAGAATTATCAAAGATCCACATGTCAATGTATTATAAAAAAAAATATCAATTAAGTATTTAATTTCCGAAGCCACTGCTTACCCGAATACGAATACTTTCAGAGCTAGAGTGTTTTCGTTCATTCGGACAACATGACCTAGTCTGCTTAGTCGCTGCCTTTTAATTCGCTGAACTATGTCAATGTCATCGTATATCTCATACAGCTCATCGTTCCATCGAATGCGATATTCGAGGTGGCCAAAAGGATATAAATCTTTCGCAAAACATTTCTTTCAAAAACTTGCACCGTGGATTCATCAGTTTTAGTCATCGTCCAAGCCGCTGCACCATATATGACTTATATTGTTTTTTCTTCATCGAGAGAGGACTTTGATTCTCTTATCCTTCGTCGGATTTTCAGGCTGACGTTGTTGGTGGTGTTTATACTGGTTCCAAGATAGACGAAATTATCTACGACTTCAAAGTTATGACTGTTAACAGTAGCATGAGAGCCAAGCCAAGATATTTCGTCTTACTGTCGTTTACTGCCAGACCCATTTGCTTTGCTTCCTTGTTCAGACTGGAAAAAGCAGAACTATCGGCGCAGATGTTGAGGCCGATGATATCAATATCATCGATTAAGTTCTGCAGCTCGAATTATTTTCTCTAGCAGTAGATTGAAGAAGTCGCACGATAGGCACTGAAACATCTTTTGGTATCGAACGGCTCGGCGAGGTCCTTCCCGATTCCTGACCCTGCTCAAAGTCAGTTTACACAGTCGTATTAATTTTGCGGGGATACCAAATTCTTCCTTCGGGGCGTGGGTACAGATCAGCGATATGTTGAAGAACTTCGCTTTGATGCGTATTGTGGCTAGACTTTCATCCAGCGGTAAATGACAGTATCCTGCGACAGAGTCTCTGTCTCACTACGAATCCCACACATAATTTGCGCTCCTTTATATGGCCACTGTAGTAAATGCCAAAAGGACCTACTCGTCTAAGTCTTTGTCCCGTCCATCACATTTCTTGGACGGCGGTGATGTCAACTTTCACTCTAACGAGGACATCAATCAGCTGGGCAGCGGCACCTTCCTAATTAAGAGACCGGAGATTCCAGATGCATGCCCTCAAATCGTAGTCCTTAATTCGTTTGCCATGGTCGTCATCAAAAGGGGGGTCTTTCTTCCGAGGCTTGTCGTTCTTTTACATTGGGTGCGTTTTTTTACGTGGGGGGTCCCAAACCCAGTACAACCCTGCGCAGGAGATGTTTAGCTTTCTCACCTTAGCTCCCCTTCAAACGAATGTTCTTAGGCTACCCAGAGGATACTTGGTTAAGAACTGGAAGTCGAGAACTGTTTGAGCCATATGTAAAATAATCGTTTCTGGCCACTCCCAAGTGAATGGCGATCAGCGAACTTTTCTCATTTGCGTAAACTTCTACACATGACTCTATCCTCCATGTCTCACCATCTGTAAAAATATAATTTTATGTACAGAATCTAAATATATACTAAATACGAGCACTCGTAGAGGCTAGTAGTAAAGCGTTTTGCTTTAAACACATATTTACGTAGACGACAGCACGACACCGAAATTTTCTGGTTTTCAAATAGCGCTTTAAGCCGGAATACTTCGTTGTTGATGTACTTAAACTTCACTTCAAAGAAACTTAAATATTTTGTTCAAAGTGATTCATTTATCAATTGTTATTAAAAATTATACTACTTGTATGCATATGTATATCAGAGCTAATTTATGCTACTGTTGGTAAAATAATATTCTATTTCTTAGAAATTTTAATAATTTTACATTGCCCATATTAGTGGCAACATTACTGCTGCATTATCGTCGGCAAAATTAGAAGAGGTTTTAATTTAATTTAACAGAAACAACTGCAAGCTTTCTGCCATGAAGTCAAGTGCGTATGCTGTCTAAATAACATTCACATTAAGTAAAAATGAGTCAAAAGAATATATTTTGAGCTGCACCGAAATGTTTACGCTTTATTTATACTCTTAAGACTAATTTATTACATGTTTCTTCCTTCTATTCATACTAACTAGTACGTTTACTTATTCCTAGTTCATAGTTTCTTTAAATAGAGATTATATTATTTGTTTAGGTTTGTTTACATATAAATTGTTTGCTTAGATACGTTTGTTTTGTTTTAAGATAAGGTTGTTGTGGTATTCAAACTCAATGTTGTTTTGATACTTGTTTGTTTAGGATGGTTTGTTGCGTGATTTCAATTGTTCCAGCTCAAGGTCGTTTGCATTCTGTTTACTGAAACAAAAGGTTGTTTTGATGTTTGTTACTATTATAAGGAATTCGTTCCTTAAGATCGTTATTAGACACGGCAACTTTTGTTGCTAATTCTCGGGCGATTCTCTTTTGCTGTTGCCCATTGCATTCACACCAGCAACTTGTGTTACGCAACTCTGTTCGAGTTTTTTCTCATTCTCTTTCACTTTACTTTAACCCATTATCTATTCTTTACTTTAACCCACTGTCGTCTGTTCTTCCTTATAGACATTTGGGCCACTCTATCACATATATTAATCAGTTCTGTGAATTTAGAAATACATTTTATTTATAATTCAAAATTAAAACAATGATTATATAACAGACCTTCACATATATCACCTTTTTCACTATCGCCTGAATCAATTTGTATGGCTTCCTCTATACATTTTAAAATATTCGATTTTTTCGTCATACTCCATTTTCTAGAATATTTATATTATATTATGTATATTTGTACACATATTTGCAAATTACTTACCAAAAGAAATTAATTTTTTTAAATATATTCAAAATATAAATTTCAAAAAAGATACACAAATGCAACTATGCACTACGAAAGAAAGAACACGAATGCCGAAAAACGTCGCAGCGAACTGCTACGAATAAGAACACAAAGCGAGTTGCTGAACACTTTAAACTCGGCGCGATTCTCCTCTCCTCGTCGCCCCCTCGCCTATAAACCAAGAATTGCCGAAACAAAAGTTGCTTCGTGTAATAACACTCTAACTCGCTCGCTACTTTTATCTACACATGATTATTTCACTATATATATGCAACAATGTTGGGATCAACAATCATATGTATGTGTAAAAACTTGGTTCTTATTTAAATGAGAAAATTAAAAATATAAAATTTATAGATGAACTTTCAAATAGCCGACACAAGTCTCCTCTACCAGAATCTGGGCTGGAGAAAAAAATTTACATCTTTTTCTATATAAACGAATTAAAAACCTTTTTTTTTAGCTGGATTCAGCCGATGAGCAAGCAGCTGCAATCCGTCGTGAGCTAGACGGTCGAATGCAACGAGTTAGCGAAATGGAAAAGAACCGAAAACTAATGCCAAAGTTTGTTCTAAAAGAGATGGAGTCTCTTTATATTGAGGAGTTAAAATCATCTATAAACCTGCTGATGGCGAATTTGGAGTCCTTACCAGTATCTAAGGGAAATATGGATAGCAAATATGGATTACAAAAACTCAAACGATACAATCATAGGTACATATTTCTGTAAGTATATGAAAATTTTGAAAGTTATTAAATGCATAACTTTTTCTATTGCAGCACTCCATCCTTTCTGTAAGTATAAGCTGTATACAATAATTTTAGTATTTATACATAATTATATTTTTTAAGTATTTGGTTAAACTAAATAAAAACCGAAGTCAATACCGAAATGATGGGGTGGATAGAAAATTAATGTGTTGAGAAGCCTGTTTAAATTAATCTAGGGTTTCTACTAAGCTTTTTTCGATAAAATCGTCGTTTTCCATACAGGACTTTTTATTGACATCATCCAATTACTTAAACATATTATCAAAAAAAAAAAAAAAATACTAGATATGTTTGAAACGGCATACAACATTTTTTGATTCAGATGATAGAATTTTCATTTAATATCTATAGACTTATCTAATAAATTTCAAAATCGCTACAAAGCACATTCAGTCGAAATCTGAAGAAAAAAATTGAAATGATTTACGTTGCAACTATAAAAGAGAAGGTCGAAAAGTATCTTAACTAAGAAAGTGTTCGACCAGAAAACAGCAATTCCTTTTTGGTATAATTTTAATTTGTTGCTATATGTGTATTTAAGTAGGAAGATGATACTGCGTTCACATGGCTCACTTTCAAAATTGGAAGGTGATGCAGATGAGGGCATAACGCAACTAACGAAATTGGATGTTGTACTTACATTTCAATTGGAAGTTATTGTCATGGAAGTTAAAGGTCTCAAATCTTTGGCGCCCAATCGAATTGTGTATTGCACCATGGAGGTAGAAAATGGTGAAAAACTACAAACCGATCAAGCGGAGGCTTCAAAACCAATGTGAGTGTATATACAATAATAGTTCTGAACAACTGAACTCATTCAGAAATGGTATCATTATGTAAAATGTATATTCAAACTTAGGTGGGATACCCAAGGTGACTTCACAACAACACACCCCTTGCCAATAGTTAAAGTAAAGCTATATACAGAAAACCCTGGTATGTTGGCATTAGAAGACAAAGAACTGGGCAAGGTTACAATAAAACCAACACCACTTTCATCGAAGGTATTATAGAGAATTCCACACATCGGTGCTTATGTAAATTCGTCAATATATTTTAGTCCCCCGAATGGCATCGATTGGTAGTGCCCAAAAATCTTCCAGATCAAGACCTACGAATTAAGATTGCTTGTCGGTTGGACAAACCTTTAAATATGAAGCACTGTGGGTAAGTATATAGCAATATGTATACTCGTATATATAAAGGAGAGATTCAGTAAATTAGATACTAGTGAAGCAAGTTAAGTTTGATACTCCATCGATATGGTAGAAGAGGTGTTCTAATTCAGTCAGCGAATCAAGAGAGAGCGGCTGAGCTGTTCAGATCATGTTGTTCGAATGGAAGAGAACACTCCAGATTTGAAGGTTTTCGATTCAGTACCCTTCGTGTTATGAAATATAACTTACTTTTTTCGTCGGTTTTAGAAAATCCAAAATCAACAAGAAACATCACAGTCACGAAATTATTGTAAACTAGTGTAATAAAAACGTGATATTTCTATAAACGCTGATCTTAGACATTTTTGGTTCTACTACAGGGAACATTTTTGAAATTTGATTTGATGAGTTATATTCTATAATTTGAGGTGATAGTTGTTCTCTGATTTAAAAGAATGAAATTATTATTTGCAGGTACCTTCATGCAATTGGTAAATCAGTTTGGAAGAAGTGGAAGAAACGGTATTTCGTGTTAGTTCAGGTGTCCCAGTACACATTTGCAATGTGTAGCTACAAAGAGAAGAAGTCTGAACCATCGGAAATGATGCAATTGGATGGATATACAGTTGATTATATAGAAGCGGCGAGCGGTAGGCAGTTTAAATTAATACCCTAGAGCCGTAAAGAAAACATCTTTTCCTTTCTTTTGCATTGCAGCCAATTTAATGTTTGGCAATGACTTAAATGGAGGCCGTTATTTTTTCAATGCAGTTCGAGAAGGTGATAGTATAGTTTTTGCCTGCGATGATGAAAATGAATGTAGTCTCTGGGTCATGGCTATGTATAGGGCTACGGGGCAGTCGCATAAACCCACACCTCCAGTAACTCAGGATAAAAACTCGGCGATATCAAAAATACAAGGCGGTAATATATATGTACATTTGTATAATAAAACTTAAGACTTACGATAGCTGTAATTTTATTATGAGGGCGATAACCCTCCGGAAATATTATATTATAATTTTTATTATTTCACCTCAAATAGTAACCTGGAACAACGCTAAATTAAAAAACCTAATTTTTGTTTCAAAGCGCAGATGCCGACAAAGCTCGAAAGCATGGGATGGAGGATTATATAAGTGCAGATCCTTGTTCATTCGACCATGCTGCTCTTTTCAAAGTGCTACAAAATCTCACGCTCGAGTATCGCCTTAACGATCCTTATGCGTCATTGGTATGTTAAATAAGTTAAAAAAATAATAATAATTGTAAGAATGGTTTTATCTTCAACAAATTAATTCTGGTAATCTAACAGGGTTGGTTCAGTCCTGGCCAAGTCTTTGTGCTCGATGAATATTGTGCACGATATGGAGTGCGTGGTTGTTATAGACATCTGTGTTATTTATCCGATTTGTTAGATCGGGCAGAAAAGCAGTATATGATAGACCCCACGTTAATACATTACTCATTTGCGTTTTGTGCTAGCCATGTACACGGAAATAGGTACTTACGAATATATAGTTATAAATAGTAATTCTGTAGAAGCATGATGGTCTCTTATATTAATAGACCCGATGGCGTTGGCAGCATAACGCACGAGGAAAAGGAAAAGTTTGCTGAAATTAAAGAGCGACTTCGGATATTACTTGAGTATCAAATAACGAATTTTCGCTTTTGTTTTCCATTTGGTCGCCCGGAAGGTGCTTTAAAAGCTACCCTGTCTCTCTTAGAGCGTGTACTCATGAAAGACATTGTTACACCCGTACCACCAGAAGAAGTACGTATGATGATTAAGAAGAGTTTGGAAACAGCAGCCCTAGTTAATTATACACGATTATCTTCTGAAGCGAGAATAGAAGGTACGTAAATGATATAATATTAAAACTACATGCTTCATTTCAAATATATTCATCTTTCAATATATTAGATATTTATTTAATAAAGATAATTGAGAAAGATGAAAGTTTCCATACACGGTATAGAAGTTATGTCAATGCGTCATGCTAATTACAGCAATTTTGCATATTTTTGTCAATAAACTAAAGCGTGCTCAAGAAAGTAAAGAAAGTATTCCACTTAATGTAATAAAGACATTTAGCTAATTTCAATTTGTCAAAAATTCTAATGCCACTCACTGCCAGCGCGCTGCCTTGGTGTGCTTTGGTAGGGTTTTAAATAATTAATATTGTGGTTAAAACAAAAGAGAGCGTTGCTTTTGTAACGATGTTCTAAATTTGTAAGGGCTACCAGACTGGCAGCAGAAAGCAAAAAGTAAATGAGCTGTAAGTATTTCCCCTGAGATATCCACGCAGAAACTGCTTGGAGTGTATTATGTCACTTAACAGGAAAATTACAGGCCTCACTATGAACGTATTCGCTGGGAAACAAGAGATATCCTGAGGTAGTCCGAAGGTAGTCTTCTGACCAGTTTTCTTCAGCTATATCCTAGCCGACTGGGGTAATGCTCGAAAATTCTGCGAAAAAATGCGGCGACTAACAGGAGGGTTCAAGACCGGACTCTTGTAGAACCACAAAAGGTGATCTAGTGTCCGATGCCCAGAGCGTACTAAAATCATGGAGGGAACACTTTTCCAGCTTGCTGAATGGTAGTAAGCGGACAACGCCAGGAGAAGGCGAACCCGATTTCCCGATCGATGGCGATGGAGCAGACTATCCATTGCCCGACCATGAAGAAGTTCGAATAGCAATTACCCGCCAGAACAACAAAGCAGCGGGACCGATGGATTGCCGGCCGAGCTACTCAAATACGGCTGCAAAGAACTGTTAAGGAGCATACATCAGCTTCTTCGTAAAATATGCCCAAGAATTGTAATTTAAGTGTGCTATGCTCAATCCACAAAAAGGGAGACCCCACAATCTCCGCCAACTACCGTGTGATAAGCCTCCTCAACATCGCATTCTATCTATTATGTGAAAGATTAAATCCCACCCTCAACAAACTTATTGGACCTTATCAGTGTGGCTTTAGACCTGGCAAATTAACCACCTCTTCGTCGATTTCAAAGCTGCTTTTGACAGCACGAAAAGTAGCTGCCTTAATGCTGCGGGGTCTGAATTTGGTATCCCCGCAAAATTAATACGACTGGGTAAACTGACTTTGAACAGGATCAGGAGTCGGGAAGGACTTCTTCAACCTACTGCTGGAGAAAATAATTCGAGCTGCAGAACTTAATCGATGATATTGCTATCATCGGCTTTAACACCTGCGCTGATAGTTTTGCTTTCTCCAGTCTGGACAAGGTGCAAAGCAAATGGGTCTGGCAGTGAACGAGAACAAGACGAAATGTCTTGGTTTGGCTCTCATGTTACTGTTGACAGAATGTCGTTGTGGTTTACGTTGTACTTGCCTGCGAAGTCCTAACCTCACGGTGCTTTCTGTTTCTTTTTAGTGTTGACAGGGTCATGTTATCCGAATGGACGAAAACACTCCAGCTCTGAAAGTATTCGACCCAGTACCCACTGGGCTAAACAAAGGAAGAGGAAGACCTCCACTCCGGACCAGGTGAAGAAGGACCTGTCCTTCTGTCTTTCTGTCCAATTGGCGCCATGTAGCGAAAAGAAGAAACGACTGGCGCGCTGTTGTTAACTCGGCTATAATCGCGTTCTGGCAAAAAGGACTAGTCCTGATGCACCCTAAATAGATTTTAGTAGCTATAGCGACTGACGATCCCGAAATTCTAGATTTTATACTCCCACGGATAAATCAGGGTGGTGCTACAGACTTTCCTTTACATCCCGATTCTGTTTATTCCTCGTTAATTTCCTTAAAAAATGTGCTCTTCATTAACGCTTCTAAGGTTTTTATTTACGATGTAAATGCCAGCCGACCGGCGTAAAGGAGGAGTTTTCTCGACTTGTACCTACCTCACCAGCTAAGTGCTGATATGAAGGAGACGCACTCTGATTCCATGGCTTTTAAAGGGACTCAGTCAGTGTTGCTGAGTGTCATCACTAGTCCAGACTTCAAACCGTAAGCGGAAAGTTAATTCCTAACTCTAGTCCATGTAGAAAGTAGGGGACGGTTAAGTTTTGTTAAGGCAATGGAGGCCGTAGATTATTGGCGTTTAACAGGATGCATCAACACGACCTACGCTATACCCCAACAGGCAAAGTACTTTATATAGCTGATGTGAAAGTTAAAGTTTTTTTAACCTACCCTATAAAAATTTTGCCTAAACACTCTGGCGCATCTTTTATCATTACATATACCTTTGCTTCTTGTTATAGTATATAACAGTCCAGGAGTAGAGCACACACGCGTTTTACGCCTTATCATATAATAAAATCGACGGCTAAACCCCTGAACGTATCACCCGTAAGAAACTCAAACTTGATTATCCTTCTTCTTGATTGGCGTAGTAACCGCTTACGCCATTATAGCCGAGTTTACCATCGCGCGCCAGTCGTTTCTTCTTTTCGCTACGTGGCGCCAATTAGATATTCCAAGTGAAGCCAGGTCCTTCTCCACTTGGTCCTTCCAACGGTGTGGGGGTCGTCCTCTTTCTCTGCTTCCCCCGGCGGGCACTGCGCCGAATACTTTCAGAGCTGGAGTGTTTTCGTCCATCCAGACAACATGACCTAGCCAGCGT